CTCTAAATGTGATACTGATTCTAATATGACTGCAATTACCTTTTGCAGTCTGCCGCGTCCTACGCAGTCTCACCTTTAAGCGTTATGCATTTGTTTGTTTGCTTGTTTAATCGGTCAGCAATATTAATAAAATATAAACTCAGTACTCATAAAACATGGAGAAATACATAATGAAAATTCATATTCATTTTGTGAATAACTTATGCTTTTATGAAGTATACCAGAGTCAAGTTTATTGCACAGTCTAGACAAAATTATATTAAAGATGAAGAATTTGTAATATTTGTCTATGAAATGTATTGTACGCTTATAATTCTAGAATATAGAAACACAAATATTTTGCATATTCGTTTAATGTTCCGTTAAATACAATAACATTTAATGAATCATTTTTTGGAAACATTTCAACGTTGTTTTTGGCTTATTAAGAATCATTATTACTTAATCTTAAATGCTCCATAAAAATGTCCATTCTCGAGTGAATTTTCAAACTATGATCTGTCCAGTCCTTTTCAGTTTTATCAAACCATAAATATTTTCCTTTCAAAGACTGATCAGCGTCAAGTACAAAATATACGGGAGCAATTCCTGACTCATCTACTTCTAGAAAGCCACTGTTTTTGGTCATACTTGTCTTTATAAAGCCAGGATGTAAAGAATTAACAGAAATGTCACGACCAACTTGTTTCTGTTGTACTCTAGTTAATGCACTAAGAGCCACTTTTGATATTCTATAAGCAAGTATACCTGTCTCTACAAAATCCTCGTCTTTAAGAGTTCCATTTTTAACTGAATCCAAAAACCAATTGACGAAATCATTAACATCTTCCAACTTTATATCTTCACTTGTTAAACGTTTAATCCAGTAAGGATTTTCTAAATTCGATATATGTCCAGCATCGCTTGATATATTCAATACTCTAGCGTTATCTTTTAGAATCGGAAATATATATTCCTGTATAGTTAATATGCTAAAGTAATTAGCATTAAGTACATTTAAAGAATCTTCGTAAGTAGTTTTATTAAAATCTGCAGTAATCAGTGCAGCATTATTAATAAATATATCAATACTACCATGTTTTTCTTTCAAATGTTGTGCAAATTTTTTGACACTT